ACTTCGTGTAAACGGACGATCTCATCAACATAAATAGTAGCCAATCTATAAGCATTAAATGTAGTTTTGACAGGCAGAAAATGTGCAGATTTAGTCAGTCTATCAACTACAACCCAAATAGAATCCATACCTCGAGAAGTCCGAGGTAGGCCAACAACGAAATCCATAGTCACATGCTCCCACTTCCATTCAGGAATAGGGAGAGGTTGAAATAGACCGCCTGGTTTCTGATGTTTAGCTTTAACTTGCTAACATTGAAGACACTTGGACACATATTCTGCAATTTCCTTCTTCATTTTAGGCCACTAATAGGTTTGTTTCAGATCCCGATACATTTTATTGTTACCCAGATGCATAGCAAATACGGATCTGTGGGTTTCATCTAAAACCCTCTTCTTTAGTTCCAGAATGTCTGGGACACACATTCGGTTTCGAAATCTCAACACTTCATTTACAATACTGAACTCTGCTTTCGGACTTGTCTCAAATTCATCAATCACTTTCTTGAGGAATTCATCATCTTTCTGTTTCTGCTTAATTTCATCAATGATTGCCGGCTCGGCTGTAATAGTGGCTATCAATCTGCCCTGTTCACACATTACCACTTTAATTTCAGACTTCTCAAAATCTTGAAAGATTTCTTTCTATTCAGTAAGCAAACAAGCCATACTCCCCGTTGATTTTCTGCTCAAGGCATCAGCAACTGTGTTAGCTTTCCCGGGGTGATACTGAATCTCTAAATCATAATCCTTTATCAGTTCTAGCCATCTCCTCTGTCGCATATTCAACTCCTTCTGCGTGAAGAAGTATTTCAGACTTTTGTGATCCGTGTAGACTTCACACTTTGCTCCATACAAATAATGCTGCCAGATTTTCAAAGCAAAAACAACTGCGGCCAATTCTAGGTCGTGTGTTGGATAATTCTTCTCGTGTGGCCTCAACTGTCGAGAGGCGTAAGCAATAATCCTTCCGTTTTGCATTAACACACAACCCAAACCTTTATAAGATGCGTCACTGAAAATTACAAAATTTTTCGTACCCGAAGGTAGTGTCAAAATTGGTGCAGTGGTCAATCTTGTTTTCAGTTCATAGAAGGCAGCTTCTCTTTCGTCGTTCCATTCAAACGGTTGCCCTTTTCGTGTCAATTGGGTAAGAGGTACAGCTAATTTCGAAAATTCCTTCACAAACCTCCTGTAGTACCCGGCCAAGCCCATGAAGCTGCGGACTTCTGTCACATTTGTCGGTGTAGGCCAATTCACAATTGCCTCTATTTTCTGTGGGTCCACTAAAATTCCTTCCTTGTTGATCACATGCCCTAAAAAGACACAAATGATATGCCTTACACGACAAACACTGACTTAATCCCTCTGTCAGGACCTTTCCCGAAGTATTTGTAGGACAGTTCTCAAATGATGTTCATGTTCAAGTCTATCTTTAGAATATATCAAAATGTCATCAATAAAAACCACAACGAATTCGTCAAGGTAGGTTTTAAAAATTCGGTTCATTAAGTCCATAAATGCTGCCAAAGCATTATTCACTCCAAATGGCATAACAAGAAACTCAAAATGTCCATACCTCGTTCTGAATGCTGTTTTCTCAACATCCTCTGCCTTAACTTTCAGCTGATGATACCCGGATCTCAGATCAATCTTAGAAAACACCTGTGATCCATGCAACTGGTCAACTAAGTCATCAATACTTGGTAGGGGATATTTGTTCTTTATTGTTACCTTGTTCAATTCCCAATAACCGATGCACAAACGCAAAGTTCCATCATTCTTTTTCACAAACAATACTGGTGCACCCCAAGGCGAAGTGCTAGGTCGAATAAACCCCTTGTCAAGCAGGTCTTGCAACTGTTCTTTCAATTCTTTCATTTCGGCAGTAGTCATTCTGTAGGGAGTTTTAGAAATGAGCTGGGTGCCTGGCACAGTTTCAATAGTAAACTCTATTTCCCTATCTATTAATTCCTCTAGCAATTCATTTGGGAACACATCTGGAAATTCTCTAACAATAGGGATATCATTCAGTTCAACATTCACAGATTGTTCAGACAACACATAGCACAAATAACCCTGGCACCCTTTCCTGATCAGTTTACATGCTTTCATTGCAGGTATCAAATAAGGTGGAGGCACTACCCCATTACCCACAAACACAATCTCTTTCTGTTCTGGTGGTTTAAACACAACCCGTTTTGTCACACAATCAATGGTGGCACAATATTTGGTCAACCAATCCATGCCCAAAATTACATCAAAATGTTTAAATTCAAGGGCAACAAATCCACATATAGGATAGCATCCTCAACACGCATATCACAAAACCGGTATATAGATTCACACAATACAGATTCACCAGATGGAGCATACACACATAGCAGATATGGCAGTAATTCTAAGGGTCTATTCAGTCTAGATGCAAATGCATATGTCACAAAAGAGTATGTGGATCCGGAGTCAATTAATACAAAACCATCCTGATTACATATAGAAATAGTACCTGAGACAACTGCATTGGCATTCCGTGTATCGCTCGGAACAAGCGCAAAAATTCTCCCCTGTCTCACGGTATCCCTAGTGGTAGCAGATCTCAAAGTATTTCCCGGCTTTGGGATCGATGCAGTGGAACTAGCAACTACCTTTCCACCATTCTGATTATAATCTCGGGCCATATGCTCTTGTTTCCCACATTTGAAATAGGCTCCTGATGCATGGTAACAAACTCCATGGTGCCTTTTGCTACAAATGTTGCACATGGGAGCTGTGTCTCGGGAAGAATTCGAAGTATTTGAGGAGCCCGTGTTTTGCTTTTTCAAAAATTTCTTCTTTGAAAAGAAGCCTTGCCTTTTGTTGCCTTTCCATTTTGTCATTGGCTTAGCCTGTTGAAGGGGCTAAATGTGAAATGGGTCGGGTCCAAGCCTTGGGCCGGCCCAATCCGCTGAAGTCCAGATCCAAGCGGGCTGGATGAGCATATGGGTAGACCAATTAAGCCCAACTTCATGATCAACAGTCCACCCAAGTCCTCAAGCACTTGGGCCCAACCCGCAGTGGAAAGGCTAGTCTAGTCGTGGTGCTGGGCTGGGCCGAGCTGCGAGACTAAATCTATGGGCCGAATAGATGATAGGCTGAGACCATACAAAGATACCCAAATGGACCAGTCCATCTCCATGACTGATCCTGTAAAAGGCCGAGACAAGGCATAATAATGCCGAGCTGAGGAAACCTCGCAAGGAAATGTGGAAATTGTGAACGTGTGCACGTGTAAGTTGCCACCTTAGCTGGTCCCCTACACCTAGAATCATGGAAGTTGTTGAACTAAAGGAATGTGGTTTGTTATCAGCATGACTACAATGAGTATATGCATTCAATGGCAACTACCAGGTGGTCCCCACCATGAGCAATGCTAAAAGGACACCTGGCAGCATCCAAGCTCCATGAACTCACCTTGAGAAGCAAGCAAGGAACACTATATGTACAACATGAACTTCACATTGAAGCTAACTGAACAATTCCAAGTACAACTATAAGCTCAACTCGATATACATTCTCTCTCTGATCACTAATTTCCACACCGGAGGGGTTATCCGACCAACCTCGGCCAGACAGCTCTAACGGTGCTTCTTGTGGCAGGAATCTCAGTTCCTGGATAGTCCAACCAAGTGCGGAGCCCCGATCCACTTTCATCTAGTGCGGAATCCGGTACACACAATTGGTATGGTGAGCGTGGAACACTTCATCTCTGAGCTCTGCACTAAGTTCCGGCGATGGGGATAGAGGACATTCCGCCTTCAACACATACTCCACAGACGGAGAAAACAAAGGACAAAGGTTTGGCACTCCCAATAGTCCCAAAGGAACAAACTGGAAATAATAATTGAACCCCTGAATCCGTCGAGCACCGATTACCCTTCGCTGGAGGTTCTTCTCATCACTTTCTTCTGGAAAAGGATTATAGAGATCGCATCATAGACTCCATGGGCATAGAGATACAGGAATTGAAAGCCCAACTTAAGAGGGTACTGGGCAATCCAACAGAAAAGAAGACGGAAGCGGAGCCCTCTCGTTTGCGACGGAGGAGCTCATCCAGAGAACCACTGATGAAGAAGTTCCCCAAGAATGATTCTGGACAACAAAGCCAGCCTATCCTAGTACAGAGTGAGGCGGCAAGCAGTCACACCCGTGGGTCACGCCAGAAAAGGGCCAAGAGGCAGAAGATCGTTAGTCAACAGATCGAATACCCTCCTCAGGACCTTCGTACTTGGTTGATTGGCAATAGGCAGAATGAACAACATCGGGATCATCTGGACCGTACTGTTCACCAGAGGGAACACCGAGCACTGGACAGGCTCATCTCTTCGCCATTCTCCCCGGAGATCGAGACCATAAGACCTCTAAAGAAATTCACCCCGCCAAAGTTCGCTTCATACGACGGGAAGTCGGACCCGCTGACACATATTAGCCACCATAGACAGATGATGTCCCTATGGAACCGAGACGAGGCACTGATGTGTAAAGTCTTCCCATCCAGCTTGGGAGAAACCGGACATCGATGGTTTTACTGTCTCCCCGCTGGATCGATCCATGGCTGGAAGCAGCTCTCTGAAGAGTTCCTAGCTAGGTTTGTCTCCAACACTAAGATCCCGAAGGAGCCGGATTCACTGTTCGGCCTCCGAAAGGAGCAGGAGGAAACGCTACGCAATTATGCTAGGAGGTACTGGGAAGAACCGAGACGAGGCAATGATGTGTAAAGTCTTCCCATCCAGCTTGGGAGAAACCGGACTTCGATGGTTCTACTGTCTCCCCGCTGGATCGATCCATGGCTGGAAGCAGCTCTCTGAAGAGTTCCTAGCTAGGTTTGTCTCCAACACTAAGATCCCGAAGGAGCCGGATTCACTGTTCGGCCTCCGAAAGGAGCAGGAGGAAACGCTACGCAATTATGCTAGGAGGTACTGGGAAGAATACAATGACCTGGAGAAAAATGTGTGCAGCGAGTAGATGGCCGTCATTTCCTTCAAACATGGTCTGCGCCCGGAAAGTAAGCTAAGACAGTCACTTACCAACCGCCCGGCCATAGCTTTGAAAGATTTGCGTGCCAGGATTGAGCAGTACGCACGCCTCGAAGACGATCAGATCCCCATCGCGGTAGTGTCAGCAGAACAAACAGCTCGGCACAAGAAGAGATCAGACCGAGGAGAACACCAAGGGATTGCAGTGAATGAAGTGGATAAGTCCAAATCCCACGAAGCCGTTGTAACTGCATTCAAAGAGCCGATCTATCGAATCCTGGAAAAGATCAAGAGAGAGCCCTTCTTCATTTGGCCGCCGAAAATGATGGGAGATCCAGCTCGGCGCAATCAGAAGCTCAGATGCACCTACCACCAAGATAGGGGGCACATGACTCAGAATTACAGGGCACTAAAGCAACACTTGGAAGACCTGGTGGCAGCTGGACACCTAAGGGATTACGTTGATCAGGACAAGGAAGTGACTGAACTGGGAAACCCACCACCAGAACCAAACATTGAGCATCCACCTCGGCTGATAATAAATGTGATCCACGGGACAACGACTCAGGAGTCCGAGGAGGCACTGAAGGAAGAGATCGCTAAGGCTGCCCAAATTCAGTGGGTCATGTCAGTGGAGCCTGCATCGAAAAAGGTACGTATAGTACCTAAATCCCCCTTGTGCACTGTTTCATTTACTAGCAAAGATTTAGAAGGCATACAGCACCCACATACTGATGCATTAATTATAACTGTGGGAATTGGGAAACGGTTTGATGTAAAACAAGTCTTGGTAGAACAAGGTAGTGCAACAGATATATTGTATTATGATTTGTTCAGAAAGCTTGGTCTCTCCGAGCAGCACCTCACCCCAGCGGCAGCCCCGTTGGTCAGTTTCAATTCACAGCTAGAATGGCCGCTTGGTAGAATAGTGTTGCCAGTCGTAGCGGGAACAAAAACCCCCCAGATAGAGTTCTTAGTTATTAATACACCATCCCCTTACAACGCCATACTTGGCCGTCCGTGGATTCATCAAATGGAGGCAGTCCCTTCAACCTACCACCAGCTCATTCGTTTCCCAACGGAACACGGAGTAGAGCAGATCTCAGGGGATCAAGTTGCGTCCAAACATTGCTTCATGGCAGCATTAAAGGCAAAGCAGCTCTACAATCGGATACAGACGGTAGAAGTGGCTGAACAGCCAGTCTTGGAAGATGTAGGGGGAACCCCAGGGGAAATGATGGTAGAGGATTTGGAGAAAGTCTTGGTAAAAGGGGATGACCCAGAAAAGTACTTCCTTATCGGTACCTCGCTAGGCGCTGATGAGAAACTTCAGCTGCTGAAACTGCTGAGGGAGAATATGGAGGTATTCGCGTGGTCAACATATGATACTCCAGGGTTGGACCCAGACTTTGCTTGCCACAAGCTCAACATCAACCCTTCAGCTCGGCCCATTGTGCAGAAAAGTCAGAGATCTTCAGTCGAGCACACCGAAGCAGTAATTGCCGAAGTCGAAAAACTCCTAGCTTCATGAGCAATCAGGGAAGTTCAGTACCCGCAATGGCTGTCCAATACGGTTGTAGTCAAGAAGAAGAACGGAAAATGGAGAGTTTGTGTTGACTTCACTTGCTTGAACAAAGCTTGCCTTAAAGATAGCTTTCTGCTGTCTCGTATTGATTAACTAGTAGATTCAACAGCAAGGCATGAGCGCATGAGCTTTCTGGACGCTTATAGCGGCTATCATCAGGTACCACTGTTCGGTCCGGATTAAGAAAAGATAGCGTTTATCACTCCAAGGGGAACTTACTGCTACAAAGTAATGCTATTCGGCCTCAAGAACGCTGGGGCAACCTACCAGCGAATGATTACACGGATGTTCAAGGACCAACTGGGAAAAACCATGGAAGCATATATAGACGATATGGTAGTAAAAAGCAAGCTCGCTGCAAACCATCTCACGGACTTGAAAGAAGTTCTTGGCATCCTAAAAAACCACCAGCTTCGCCTCAATGCCTCGAAATGCGCTTTCAGGGTAGGAACAGGGAAGTTCTTGGGTTATATGGTCACTCACAGAGGAATTGAAGTGAATCCGGATTAGATCAGAGCGATACGAGATCTTGAAGTACCAACAAAGGCTAAAGAGCTGCATAAGCTGGTCGGAATGGCGGCTGCACTGAATCGGTTTATTAGCAAATCCTCAGATCGGATGAAGCCCTTCTTCCAGCTTTTAAGGAAAAAGGCAGCATTTGAATGGAATAACGAATGTACCGAAGCACTGTAAAGCCTCAAAAGATACCTCAGTACACCTCTTCTGCTGTCCACTCCAGAACAAGGAGAGGAGTTGTACCTCTATCTAGCAGTCTCAGATCACGCTGTGAGCGCAGTATTAATTCGAGAAGTTGACAAGGAACAGAGGCCTGTCTATTATGTCAGCAAGACTTTACTAGACGCCGAGACACGGTATCTACCGTTGGAAAAGTTAGTATACGCGCTGCTTATCACCTCAAGAAAGCTATAGCATTACTTCCAGGGGCATACCATTAATGTCCTCACTGAATTCTCCCTCAGATCTGTGTTTAGCCGAGCCGATTTCTCAGGCCGAACAGCAAAATGGGCGGGTAGAACTTGGTGAGTTTGACATTCGGTATCAACCCAGGACAGCGATCAAGGCCCAGGTCTTAGCAAATTTTGTCGCAGAATTTGCTCCCACCCAGAGTACCGAACCGGGGGATCCGAGTTTGGCACAGGTGCCATGCATTACCGAACAAGGGAAACCCTGCGCTTCGGAAGCTTGGAAACTCTTTATTGGAAACATCTGGTAGCTCTGTGTTGATGGATCGTCCAATAGCCGAGGCTCGGGGGCAGGAGTAGTACTTATTTCACCAGAAGGGTTCATCTGGGAACAGGCTCTCAGGCTCGGTTGGAAGGCTTCAAACAACGAGGCCGAGTACGAAGCGTTATTGGCTGGATTGCGTAGCGCCGAACACTTCAGTGCAGAACAACTTCTTGTTTTTAGCGATTCACAACTAGTGGTAAACCAGCTTTCTAGGGTCCATGAAACACGAGATGAAAGAATGGCTATGTACGCAGGCAAGGCCAAGGACCTACTCAGAAAATTTCAATTCATACAGGTGGAACAAATCAGTCGGGACAAAAACAATCACGCTGATGCTCTGGCATGCCTTGGCTCATCAGTGGATACGAAGGATGCCAGAAAAGTTTGGGTTGAGTTTGTACCAGAACCAAGTATTGCATCTCCAGTCCTCTACAACAACTTAGAGCCGAGCTGGATGGATCCGATATTTGCTTTTCTGAAATCTGGTACACTCCCCGAAGACAAAAGGGAAGCCAACAAGGTCAGACACTAGTCAGCTCGGTTCTGGATCTCACCATCTGGGAAGCTTTACAGACGCTCCTATCTTGGCCCCTACCTCCTATGTGTACATCCAAATCTCGTCGAGAATGTTCTCTATGAAATTCATGATGGGATTTGTGGATGCCACGTTGGCAGAAGGTCACTGGCACACCGAGCTCTCACTCACGGGTACTAGTGGCCACAGATGCAACAAGATGCGCAGCGGTACGTACAGAAGTGCGACAAATGTCAGAGGTTTGCTCCACTCATTCATCAACCGGCCAAAACTCTCACTCCACTCACCAACCCATGGCCCTTTGCGCAATGGGGATTGGATATTGTCGAACCATTGGCGCGAGGCACTTGGAACAGGCGATTCTTCATTGCTGCAACCGACTATTTCACTAAGTGGGTTGAAGTTCAGGCACTGGCAAGATCAAAGAGGCAAACACGAAGCGGTTTGTTTTGAAGAATGTGGTGGTGCATTTCGGCATTCTGCGGGTACTGATTGTGGACAATGGAACCAGTTCGATGGTAAGGTCTTCAGAAAGATTTGTGCCGACCTCAGAATCGAGTATAGGAACTCTTCTCTAGGGTACCCACAAAGTAATGGACAGGCAGAAGCGTGAAATAAAACCATCATCAACGGAGTAAAGAAGCGGCTTGAACATGCAAGAGGCAAATGGGTTAAAGAGTTACCTCACGTATTATGGGCCTACCGAACCACTGCACGGCGTTCAACGGGGGAAACACCTTACTCCCTAACTTATGGAATGGAGGCCATCATCCCACTTGAAGTAGGTCTCCCAACCCTTCGGTCTGAATTATTTGAAAGCTTTAGTAATGAAGAAGCTATTGCACAAGCACTAGATATGGCAGAGGGCCGAAGAGAAGCAGCGCTGATCAGACTTGAAGCGTATCAGCAACAGCTCATCGAAGTTTCAATCAAAAAGTTTTCCCAAGGCAATTTACACTTGGAGAACTGGTTTTAAGGAAAGTTATGGATCACAAATGGGTGCCTGGCGAGGGCAAACTTGGGCCTAACTGGGAAGGTCCCTGCAAAGTCACAGTCGTTGGAAACGGAGCTTACTACCTAGAGGATCTGAATGGCAGAGCTATACCTCGGCCCTGGAACGTAGCAAATCTCAAGAAATACTATCAGTAGAATTATCCCCCAACTTCTCTATCAGAATGTTAAGGCATTTATCTGTTGACCAATGCAAATACTTCCCCACTTTACTCAAATTTATCAAATTCTTGTAATTAGCTTTGATGTTTATCAAACGGAATTAGCTTTGGTTCATACCAAATGGAATTAGCTTTGATGTTTATCAAACGGAATTAGCTTTGGTCCTTACCAAACGGAATTAGCTTTGGTCCTTACCAAACGGAATTAGCTTTGGTTCTTACCAAATGGAATTAGCTTTGGTCCTTACCAAACGGAATTAGCTTTGATATTTATCAAACAGAATTAGCTTTAGTTCTTACCAAATGGAATTAGCTTTGATGTTCATCAAATGGAATTAGCTTTGGTTCTTACCAAACGGAATTAGCTTTGGTCCTCACCAAACGGAATTAGCTTTGATGTTTATCAAACAGAATTAACTTTGGTCTTTGCCCAAATGGACTTAGTTTCAGAACGGCTGGACGGAATATAAATTTGGTTAGCACTCAAACATGCTAAGTGGTATTGCTTGGTGGAATAATGTTTGGCAACTGAATTGGACTTTAGCCAAGTGGAATTGCTTGGTGGAAACCACACTAACATATCTTAAGTAAACATCTTTACATCTGCAGAACCTCTTAAGTACCAACACGTCGACACTTCAATACTGACTCAAACAAGCAGCATTGGAACAAGCATGACCAGGTTCTATCAGGAGTAAAGTTCCAACATTAGTCTTACTCAACTCTAGGTGGGGGCAAACAATTGTTTCTCAAAACCAACCTGGACCTGAGTAAGGCACCTCTTCATGCCTTTATTGCATTCAAATGCCCTTACGCTATCAAAGTTGCAACAGACTTAACCAGCTCTACCTAAAGAGCACAGTCTTCAGTGCCGATCTTACTTAGCTCCAGGTGGGGGCAAACAATTGTTTTTCAAAACCAACCTGGAACTAAGTAAGAACCACTTACGAACTCAAAGCACAGCCATACCACATATCCGTTAGCCACATCAAGCATCAGTTCGGCCTCGAGGTCCCAACAGTGCTCGGCCCGGGGCAAACGGTACAACGCCGCACTGAGCATCAGTTCGGTCCCGAGGCCCCAACAACGCTCAGTCGGGGGCAAGCAGTACAAAATCAGATAGAGCATCTATTTAAAAGCAGTACAGAGCCAGATCGAGCTCTATTCGGCCCCGAGGTCCCAATTGTACTCCGCCGGGAGCAGGCAGTATAGAAAACATTCAGACATAAAAGCCAAACAGCATCAGATTGCAAGTTCAAAGAGAAAATTCTATCATCCAAAGGCACAGATGGCCTCATAACCAACAGCAAAGAAAAGAAAAGAGAAAAGAAAAATTGTCTTGGCAAGCGCAAAAAGAAAGCTCGTCATGGAGACCAAGCCACAAAACATTAAAACAGAAAAGCAAAAAGTTCCAATCCTTTCAACATCAATTTTCATTAACAGTGGGCAACTCAGGAGCAGCATCAGCAATTTTGTTGGGGCCGTCTGCGGGAGGAAAAGTAGAGGAAGCTCCAACTTCTTGAGAAGTAGAAGCCTCCCTAACCACGTCTCCCATGGCTTCAGTCTTTGGGGTTTCAATCCCTTCAACATCCACCGTTTCAGCGGCAACATTCTTGTCCTGGGTCTTGCTTGCCAAGGATGGGTGGAAACAGTCTTCGAACCCAAGGATCTTGAAGGAACGGGGATATCCTAAAATAGGGAAGAGCCTTCAGGAACCAGCGCAGCAGTCAAGGCACTCGTCCAACCCTTCACGAAGAGCTTATCTCGCAGCACTAGCACCTCTTCCTTATAGGCAGCCCCAGCTTCATCCCAGCCCTACTGCCAGTGTTTGGTTTCCAGCGCAGAACGCTCGGCAGCTAGTACGGCAATAATGGCGTCCAGTTCGGCCACTTTCCCCTCGAGTTGAGCCTGTGTCCCAATAGCAGCCTCCTTCGATTTTTCAGCCGAAGCGACAATCTTGTTCAAAGGAAATGCTTCCCTCTCCGCGGTTC